ATGCAGCCTTTTCCGCCGTCGTTGCTAGATCTTCCACGTATTTTCGTTTGTCAGCTCTGATGCTCTTCTTCACTTCCCTGTTTGCTTCTGTGTATGCAGCTTGTGCGGTAATTTTCTCCGCTCTTGTTCGGCTGACATTGATTGCTGCCTTCTTGTTCCTCCTTTCTTCAATTTTTGCGAGAGTATCAACAGAGATCCATTCCTTATGATGCTGCTTCTTGCGACCAAGGACCTCCTGACATGTTGAAGTGATTGCCTCCTTAATCCCTTTCCAATTGTTCTCCAATGTTGTGTCCTCTCCATTGTGTAGATCCTGTAAGGCCTGGAACTTATTGGTGAGGGCTATCTTGAATTCGTTGAGCTTTACAGTATCCCGAAGAAAGGCCGTATTAAACTTGTGTGATGTTGTCTGTCCCGTTGTCCAGTGCTTCTTTAGTTTCAGTTTCACTTTGGCGATTAGCAAATGGTGATCTGAGGCTACATCAGCTCCTCTCCTGGTTCTCACATCCTCCATAGTCCTTCTGAACGTTTTGTTGATACAGATATGATCAATTTGGTTTTGAGTAGTGTGATCCGGTGAAATCCATGTGGCTTTGTGAATGCGTTTGTGCGGGAATATTGTGCCACCGATGACCAGTTTGTTGAAGGCACATAGGTTTGCAAATCTCTCACCGTTTTCGTTTCTTTCTCCCAGTCCATGTCGTCCCATGATGTCTTCATATCCAGTGTTGTCCATTCCAACCTTGGCATTCAGGTCTCCCATAAGAATCGTCAAATCCTTTGGTGAACATTTATCGACGATTGACTGCAGCCTTTCGTAGAATTGATCTTTGTCGTCATCATTGTAGTCATTGGTAGGTGCATAACATTGGATGACGTTCATTGTAATGTCCTCTTTCTTTGTTTTGAAGGATGCTTTAATGATCCTGGGTCCATGAGATTCCCATCCTATTAGTGCCTTTTGTGCATGTTTGGACAGCATCAATGCAACTCCTTGTGTATGTGAAGCATTTTCCTCTTCATGACCAGAGTATAACAGCAGTTCCCCTGAAGCTAGTCTCAGTTGTCCTACTTGTGTCCAATGTGTTTCACTGATTCCAAGCACCTCGAGGTTGTATCTTCTCATTTCTGCCGCAACTTGAAATAGTCTTCCAGTCTCCCACAATGTACGAACGTTCCATGTACCTAAAAGAATGGTTGCTCTGGTTGTCAGAAGAGGCATCAGCCCCGTGACTTCCGAGGGAACTCGGCTTT